CTGAGTGGTGAGGTGGTAGGGAATGAGTTGACTGGATGGAATCAAACCTCGAACATCGTTGCTCTGTTCTCGGGTTTTTGTGCCCAACACATTTCAATGACAGTATCAGCGACTTCTTTTTGTGTACATGCAGGCATCGACATTGTGTAACCCTTCATCACCTTCATTTTCATTATATACTCCAAAACAAGTCAATCACTTTCAGAAGACAGCATTACCTAATGTAAGCATATGGAATGACCGTTAGCCGTGGCAACGGAAAGCTACGAACAAGCTTAGTTCTTCTCTTGCAAATTTAAGTGAGCCCCTACAAGACTACGAAAGGGTAACAAATGCTGATTGTGATGCAATGCAATCAGCCGCTCAAACGATATACATAACCCTTCTAACTTCTAAAGCTCTGGTAACGAGTCTATCGCGGCTGATCACTCAAGAGAGTTAATAATGGACTGCAAAGTTTCACAGTTGAAAATCAGATGTCGTATAAACTCAATCCTTATCAGTAAATCTTGATGATTATTGGATATGTACAATTCGGGGAAATAAATGAAGAACATTTTGAATAGTTTAGAAAGAATGGAACTGTTATTTGGAACTGTTATTATCGTTATAGGAATGCGATGGGGTTATAGGAAAAGGATCGTTGTATGAACTCAATTACATGCGCTTATTTGAAAGCAGCGCTTAGAACGAACTGGAGGCTTCAAGCGAACAACAGATAACAACCTTTTCTTTGACCTCGGCATTCGTCATCCCCTGATAAGGCTCCTTCGCATCCGCATATATCTCCCAGGTCATTATCCCGTAACTCCACACATCCGTACGTGCTGTATACACCAAATATTGGATCGTTTCCGGTGCCAACCACCGAATTGGAACGCGTCTCACTTTCGTCATATGATATTGATCACCTTCTCGTGATAAACCAAAATCCGAGATTTTTACCTGTTATTGAACGAGTATTCTCGCTAACATCGATGTTATCATTGATACTAACAAATGAAAATGTGCAAAACTAACCACACCATTGTTGGAAAAAAGACAATTTCTAGCAGCGATATCACGATGTATGCAATTCTTCCAATGTAAATATTCCAATCCCCATGCTGAACCGACAACCATTTTTTCAAGTTTCGTTTTTGCATCTACTTGATTCTTTTTTAAATACTCATCTAACGCTCCACCTTCTACCTTAAATAATGACCACAAAGTAGGCGATAATGAATAAACCTATTNTACAAAAAAATGAATGCAAACAACGAACTAATTCCATAACGATCAAAAGAGGTTCATGTTCAACGGCAACGCCGTACATTCGTACAATATTCGGATGATCGTAATTCCGCATCAATCGTGCTTCTTTCATCATTTCTTTGATTTTTTCTTTGGACATCTCCGTTGTTTTCGCCTATTTTTGAGAGAATATTGTTAATATTATCACTATTGATGGCATTCAAGTATGTGGCCGTTCACTGTTCGTAGCATTTGTTTCGGATTGCAGCATAAAAATGAGCCAAATGTTATGGTATCGTGTCGAGGATGAATCAAATGAGTTGATATAGTACCAGTTTAACAGCAACATCCACAACCCTTCCGGACGGCAGTTTATATTTTCCCGAATGCACTTCACCGAATGCACCCTCACCGAGTTTCTTCTCAAGATCCACATCTTCGTGCTTCAATTCCCATGGTGCGCGTTTTATTGCATTCATTAGAATCGAATTTTTCACATGAAATAATAGCAATAATAGTAATTAATGAACACATTTTCACAGCTATATTTTAGTATTCCCTATCCATCAAATGCGAATTCAAATTCAACAGCAACGTCATTGTTCATGAAATGTGTCAAGAGATGAACAGCTTGATAGCTATTCGACAAGCACATTTATCAACTGCTGATAAACGAACAAACTTTTGCGATGACGGGCTCCTTGTTACTTCGATAATATTCGACAAGTTCAGGTACCGAATCGAATGACTTTCTTGCATCAGTCAGAAATTTACCATTGGGTGCTTGTTGCACGACGATGTGCCTCATCTGAATCGCTCTACTTCAATAAATATATCCACTCTTCTCATTAATGTCCTAGAGCAAACAAACTCAATGGAATAATTATTGCAGATATTTGTCTTACGATTCATCAGTTTCGTTGTATACAATAAAATATGATACATCTACGGAAATAACCTTATTCTCTAGTGTTTCATCGTTAACCACCGATATGATTATTTGCCTCGGTGAACCAGCTCTCGGCTCACTGACTCTAACCAAGAAATCGCCTGTATGTACCAAAAGATAGGGTAGATCTTCTCTCGGAAGTAATCCATGAAAGTATTCTTCTTCATCCAAATTGCAACTTGATGCGGGCATTCCTGTTATTCTAGGTCAAATTATCGATCAATTTCTTACAAAACATTAACGTAAACCATTGAGTTAGAAATAGAATTCCCACACAATTTCAGCAGCATTCAGCATCGTAAACTACTTTGATACCTCAAAGTAGTTTATGAATTACGTGGAACTTATTTATGAAGATATTCGATAAAATTGAACAGCTGGAATGTTGCTGTATGTGATATAATGTGAATTTGGAAAGACATAAATGAATGTTCGCCTCCAGTGGTTATTTCGAATATTAGCGAGCCAGTTCATTCGTTCAATTAAATGAGGCACAACATTATCACAACAAAATCAAACCTCACTTATTATGAGTAAATTTTAATTGAGGTCGATGAGACAATGACCTCACAAAGTGCGCATAAAACTACGGAATAATCACGGTTACGGGTTTGGCGTGATTTATAGTCGTTTATTCAGCATATGTAGAATGAATCTGATATGGAAATTTAGGTTATTATTATATGAAAATTTTGGAGAAACTTCAGCACAGTCTTTAAAACTCTCTAGTTTTTAAATTTCTTATTGAACGTATGTAAAATAAAGTAAAATTTTGTTGTCTGGAAATTTGAATGATCAAATAATTGGTGAACAAGAATTCGAAATTTATTCACTATCAATCGAGTACACATCCAAAGATTTGTAAATTACAATATGTTGGCGACGTTCGGTCAGAATGAAAGTGCTGATGTGAGATGGCATCGGTTAGATGAGCGATTTCTTTTGCATATTCAATGATTGGAGATAATGTTGTGATACTGATGAATAGTGGTGAATTTCGAGACGTGATCGTCGGGTAATCTTTTGATATTGAGCTGTGAGTTTTTCTGGTTGCAGTAATGAATTTGCAGTAATAGTTCGCATTTTCTC